AAAAGGCACCGAGCTCTGGGGTGGTGTGTTTTGGCCCTACTGGTTGCAGGTGATTCGGCAAACACAAGGAGTGTCGGCGAGGCCAAGGCACGTTGTGCTCGACCAATCAGCTTATCGAAGTAGTCGCGGAACTCTGCAGGTACCAGCTTCCGAGCTCTTCCTTGCTGAGCTGGACCCAAGTTGTTGAAGCTTTTCACCAGTGCGCCGCGCAGAGGCCCTCCGTTTTTGCAGGCCGCCTGAAGGCGGTCAGCGCTGCACAGGCTGCGCCACATGCATTGGGTATGTATTGACCACTAACACCGAAGCTGCAGGCGGAGCCGTCACGGCCACGGCACTTGCGGACCATGACCATCGAGGGAAGTGACGGTAAGTGAGTCGACCTGCGGCCAACGACACGGTGAGGAAATCACAATACTTGAGCCAGGATCTGCGGTAGATGAGGATTGTGATGGACACCAAGCCGGAGCCCAAGCGCCAGCGCCCGCTCTGTAGACGTGTCTACCCCTACACAAGCGCCGCCGGAAAAGTGCTGCGACGTGCAGTGGTTATTTCGAAAAAGAGACTGGGCATGCGTGTGCCGTGTGTCCTGACTGCGCTAGCTCACTCAGCAAAGAATAACATGAGACAGTCCGCAGTTGGAGCCCCAAGTCTTGCTTGTGCCAGGTACGCAAGAATAACACGAGGAGTAGTGCTACGACTGTGCAGTCGAATCGAAGAGAAGCAGGAGTGACTAGTCATCACAAGATTACCGTGAAAGGTTATAGCAGCGCAGCCGCTCAGCAGAGACGCTCTCTCGCCACGAGCCCTCGCCACAGCGAGAATCGTCGAGACCCTATTCGCTAATCTGTCGAGGCTCTCTCAAGTGTTTCTCAGGCACAAGCCCATGTACCGGCAGGTGCACGACTTGGTGAGACGCCTAGCCCATCAAACAATATGCAGCGGGAAGCAACAAACCCCATCCCCCCGAGTACCGGGGAGGCTAGGAGTTGAGCCTTCCATCCCACAGCTCCTGACCCGGCAGTTGGTGGGTCGTGCTTCGCGCCCGGCGCTCGGCCCGCGAGCCGCTTCAGCTTCACGCAGGGCCCGGTCCGCACCATAGGGAGTCTCACGTGTTCTGGCGGTTCTCTCGCTCCGAACTTAATTGTTTTCAGAAAACTAAGACAATCAAGATTAAAACCGAGCGTGAAAGTGCAGAATCCCGTGGTCAGACCAAAACCACGGCGCAGGCATGGCCACATTTTTTGAAAAGCAGAGGCAAAGGCCCTACTTTGCCAAACGCGCGCGCTCCCTTGACATCGCAAGCCTCAAAGAAAAGCTGCTTTTGGTGCCCGGCCACATGGCCAGACTTTCAGGCCCGACGTGCCAAGTCAACAACATCAAAGAACTGTGAAGGATTTTTGCGACCGGCCGAAAAAATTAAAGGGCCGCTGCAGTGCCGAAAGCTATTAGAAATTGCCTGTCCCGGAGTGTCTGGGGGTGTCCCGGTGTGCCCCCGGACATATGTTCCGAGGAGTGTCCTGCGGGTCCTGGGCACCCCCCGGACGCTGTCTCGAGGAATGCCAGGACACTCCTCCGGACACCCCGAGACACCCGAACACCCCAGACACCCCGAGACACCCGAACACGTCAGATATTTCATTCAAGATAAAACATCAGCAGATCGTCTTCTTGCTTCAGATTTCAAGTAAGCATCAGGATGGGCCCGCCGCAGGCGGGCCTCAGCTTCAGGGGCCAGCGCCCGGAGGCCTCCAGAGATTTCCAAAAACCTTCAGAAGCTTCCAGGGCCTCTGCAACAGGGTCTTGCCCGTTCGGGTTCTCAGGGTTTTGGTCCCAGATTTGCTGGCAGAGAGCTTGGTCTGATGAAAACCTGGCAGTGGGAGAGCAGGGCCAGGACCTGGAAGGGCAGGGCCAGGGCTCCAAAAAAAGAACGCTTTGGAGGCCTAAAGGTTTCGGGTTACTCATTTTAGGGCGACCTGACGGGTTATTCGCCAGCGAGCTGCCGGGTCCACCGCGCAGCCCGCATCTGCCTGCCGCACTGGAGCTCCGTCGCCAGCCGGAGGGCTTCTGGCTCCGGAGCGGCCTCGCACCCTGCTCGACAGTGCCGGGCTCACTCAGTTTAGGGTTTAGGATTTAGGGTTTCGGGTTTAGTGTTCACGGTCTAAACTCCTTAAAGGGGGCTATATATAGGGGATCCTATAGGGGCATATTTAGGGGTTAGTAAAGGGGCATTTTGTAGCATAATATATATTATGTATATATTTATAATATCTGTTTATTGTGGCATATTATCGTATTTGTGTATATTTTACAATTTCAGGCTACGAGGCGGCAGCATCGGACCAGGACTTCCAGGCAAGTCTTGCATCAATAAGTGTCATTTTGATTTCGAGGAATAAGTTCGAGGCAATCAAAATTCGCAAGCAGCGTACGGTACAAGTACAGGCTTAGCTGCGCTATTAGGAACAAGCAGGAGTTTATAGGCAGTGGCGGTTGTGGCGGCGGTGCTGCTGCCGCGTCCGCGGCTTCTGCACTGTTAGCTGGTTTGTGTCACAAGTTTTAACCGTGCATGGGATATGTGCTGGTTTGTTGATTGTCAGTTTCGTTGATTGTCAGTTTCATTCTTTTACTTTGTTTTGTTCGCTAGTCCTTCCGTTTGTCTCGCTTGGTCGTCTGTTGTTAGTTGGCACGCAGACAGAAACGGTCAGGAGCTCGCAGTTTAACGAGATGCACAAATCCATGACTCGACAAAAGTCCGAGCGTTCAAACTGCACGGGCCATTTCACGCTTGGAGGTTCTTCATCCATGCGCACCTTTGGACAGACATTGGTACAATTGCTTGGCGTGCTGCCGCTGCCGGAGTATTGAGTTGCAACGAGCCAGGGGCAAGTTTCGAGAACGCTTTCCCACTCACAGGGGATAACTGCGATCCGCAGCTGTTGCATCTTGTGCGCAGGCGTTGATATCGACGTAGGTTTATGTGGAAGTTTCTTGCTTCTTGAGCAGAGTTTTTTCCAAGGTGGGGGTTTACGCACATTGAGCAGGTATCACAAAAAGGAATAGGTATCAAAGAAAGCTTTTCCTTTTACTTCTCATCGCACCATCCACAGGTGGCGCCCTCCGAAAGCTAGAGAAAATGGGTTCAGGGTTTTGTGGTGTAGAGGAAGATAAGGGTCATGAGAAAAATGAGAAGAACAGTCGGAGAACAAGAAAGCAAGACGGACAGAAGCAAAGGGAGAACCAAAGAGAGGGGGGGGAAAAAAAGGAAGAAAACGAGCAAGAAAGCAAAGTGCGAAGACGCGAAAGCAGTACAGAAAGAAAGAGACAGGGAAAGAAATATACCAATAATGAGATGACGAGCAAATCTTTTGGCAAAGTCTTCTGAAATGGTGTTTGCATGATTTCAAGAATTCCAAGTGGCTTAAGTTACAGCATTCCTACACTTAATTACCGGTGCTCCGAATGCTGTAACTGCCAAGGACTGCATGGGGGAAAGGTTGGGATGTCTAAAGCTTCCAAGCTCGCGCATCTCGGTTCGGTTCCCTTAGCTGCTTAGGGTTCAGGGTTTAGGTTTTAGGGTTTAGGGTGTTTATTAATTGTTTGAGTAGTGCTGTTGATTGCATGTATGGGGAAGTTGCTTACCCAATGGAGAATCAAAGGGTGAAATGGAAACTCGTGTACATGTGTATATATATACACATATATTTATTAACATGTAGGAGTTGCCATTTCAATTTCAATCTGATTTTTCGTTTGATCGCAAAAGCTAGCCTTCGGGTCTAGCTTGAGTTTCTTGTCAAGCGTTAGCTTTCAACAAGGGGTGTGGGGGCTTGGGCTCCCGGTGGTTGGTCATGTTTTGTGGTTTTTTCAGCCAGATAGCAGGGCAGGGATGGTGTCGGGCGTGGGTCCAACCCTTGAAGAACACGTAAAGAACACCTTATTTCTGCTAAAAAGAACGGATAACAGGGTGTGAAAGAACATGTTCCCAATGCCTCACAGGCAAGAAAATACATGGTCGACCCATTGCATGAACCCTGGACAGGGTTCGTTCAATCTTCCTGGCCTTCGTCCAAGCCCCCTCTGTCTTCGAGTATAAGTACATGCTGCATCTACTAGAGTAACAGACTCTTGGAGAGCACTAGATTAAATGGTGTAGGCCATATGCAATTACTACAAGTATTTGAGTGCCACGCAGCTTCAGCCTGCAAAGCGAATTATCTTCAAAGGGTTTCGGCTGCGGGTCTAGGGTTTAGGATTCAGGGTAGTTTCGCAAACAGTAACAGGGGACTCCATCATAGACGCCAAAATATCATAATCCTTAGTATGGAGACGCTCGCAAGGGGTCCCTAGTTCTGGGGAACCCCATTTGAGCCATAGTCTGAACTCTTTAAACGGGGAGTATATGAGGGATAACATAAGGATTACTTTAAGGAAGAATAAGGGAGATGCTAGGAGTTCAGACCCCAAACCCAAAACCCTGCATACCAGGAGTTTAGGGTTTAGAGTTTAAGGTTTAGACTATAGCTGATTTGTGTTGGGGGGGAATTTAATGCTTGGCAGGTGCGCCGATGGCCCCGTGCGGCGCCTGGGCTGTCGCTGATCGAGCCTGATGCATTAAGCCAATATGCAGGTGTTCTATACCCAGACCCCTCGGCGGATCTTGAAAGTAGATCCCCATCAAGGGTTCCTAGAAATTGCCCAATGGTAGTATAGGGTACCATAATAGGGTTTCTACTTTCTAGATCCTCCCAGGGATCTGGGTAGGGTTGATATTGAGTTTTTCAGATCTTACTGGAGAATTCAAAATGAAAATCAAATGGAAAATGAAATGAAAAGCTCATACATGGAATGCCAGCTGTGTGCGAATTCGCTTCGGGGTTTGAGATGGTCCGTGAACATGCTAGGCTCAATGTGGTACCTTGTGAGAGGATTGTATCTTGCATCTGCTAGTGTAAGACAAAGACTGGACTCTCACGAGAGCGTTTCAGCCCTCCCTGTGTGCAATGCCGACCTGTTCCGATCTGGAAGTCTTGGTGAGCGCTTCGCCTTCTGGCTGGTTCCGGCCGCAGCCCAGGCGGACAGCCGGCGTGTCCTTTCTGAACTTGGGCGGGTTGGCGAATGCCGCAACATCAGCTGCTGGGGCACTGGGTGGCGCAGTTGGTGGGATGGCGGGCGCGGGTCAAAGCAAACTTCTGCCGGAGCCTAAGGTACCACAGCTGAATGTGGGCCCAATGTTTTTGGGTTGGCTTGGGCACGTTGCCCAGAATGTTAATAATAGTATTAATGGTAGAGTAAGTATAGTAAGTAGTATAGTAAGTATAGTAATTATAGAAATTTTGGCAACTATAGTAATCATAGTGTTACATGCGTGTGCATACTTGAGGCAGAAACTCCACGAGAGCGTTTCAAGCTCATGCTGGAGGTGAAGCGGACAGGCTATCCTGATGACCATTCGCCACAGCCAGATGCTGGGCCTAGGCTTTAGGGTGTTTAAGTCAAGTCACTATAGTAAGGAAACCCCAGTATTTATTATTTACCATATTTTGGTAGCTTAAAATCGAGTTAAGTCACTATAGTAAGGCGCCGTATTTCCTATTTGCCCATGTTCCTCAACTTAACCCTCAACCCAGGACGCTGGTAGCCCCGGCCAGCTTGGCTTCGCAGCGCTGCACTGGTCCAGACACCAGGTTGCCAATGCCCTCCGTGCCATGGAGACCTGGGTTGCTGTTAAGGAACTTAAACTAAATTACCATAATGCGTAGATAGGGTATATAGGGTTTAGTGTGGGGTTTAGGGGGGGTTTAGGGTGTAGGGTTAAGGAGCTTAGATTGAGTTACCATAACGGGTGTATACTGTAATTACTATGGTTCCCCAGTTAGAGTAAATTAAAGTAAGATCCTTAAATTTCATTTTCCATGTTCTTTTCCATTTGATTCTCCATTATAGGGGGATACTGTAGCTTAAGTTAAGCTCCTTAAGCCCTAAACCCTAAACCCGAAATTCCTTAGCAGCAACCCAGGAGAGCATGCGCTTCGTGGAGCAGCAAGCTCTCGTGGCCAAAGGAATTGCCGACAAAGCTGCGGCACAACTTACCTATTTGATCCTAGGAAGCCCAGTATAGGGTTTAGGGTTTAGGGCTTAGGGTTTAGGAGTCCTTTGTACAGGTACTGTACCATTTATTACTGGGCTACCAAGGATGGAATCACCCTGCCTCAGAGGGGTGACGCAACCCGCAGAAGCGGAACCGAGCTCAGGATCTTTTGCACCAACTCATTGCCAAGACTCAAGCCATATGAGCTATAGTCTAAACTCCTTAAAGGGGGGTTATATATAGGGGATTATATAGGGGATTACTATAGGGGTTAGTAAGGGGGATACCAGGAGTTTAGACTATAATATTGGGATCCATAGGGGTTACATAGGGTTAGAAATGCATTCTATCGGAGTTACACAGGGGATAGTATTTGTCCGAATAATGAAGAGTCACAAAATCAAAACTTGGATTATGCAGTGGGTTAAAGAGATTGAACCCTAAACCCTACACCCCAACGCGCCAAAGCGCAAACCCCTAAAACCCCTAAACTCTAAACCCCTACAACCCCTAAAACCCCTAAAACCCCTAAACCCCCTAAAACCCCTAAAACCCCTAAAACCCCTATAGTCCCTAAACGTTTGAGAACCATCTCAAGGCTAAGCCGCACGAGCCTGTAGTGCATGCCTTCGATCAAC